AGCTGGACGCCCATGGTGGATACTCAGGGAGGTGCAGGAACAGATGCCTCCAAGAGCGGATCCACGTCGCTCTTGAGGTACAGCTTCAGGTTGTGGCCATGCACCCGACGGATGCGACCACCGGCATTGGTCAGCTCGACCTGGCCATCCGGCAGGATGCAAGCGAGTGAGTACTCGGATGGCCAGGGTGATCGTGATGCAGGAGGTGGGACCAGCTCATAGTGGTCTCCACCCTTCTTCCGTGCAGGCTTAGGCACCTGCTGCTTCGGCCGCCACTCCTCCTTGAGCTTTTTGTTCGGAGGCGAGACTGGATGGAGTGGCGGCGAAGGAATGATAGGCGGGTCCTGCAAAATGAGAGGTGCAGAAGGATACACGACAGGCTCGTGTACCTGATCAGAAATAGCATGTACAGGTGATGCAGAAATCATAGCACAATGATCAAACTCAGTCACAGAAAAAGTAGCCTGTTCATTCCCGGCACGCAGGATCAGTGTACCATCATGCACGTCAATCAGTGCCTTGGCGGTGGCCAGAAATGGTCTACCTAGAATCAAAGGCACATCCACATCATCATTTATGTCTAGGATAACAAAATCAACAGGATATGTGAATGCACCAACATTAACAAGCAGATCCTCTATGATACCCCTAGGATGCACAACGGAACGATCAGCTAGCTGAATGCTCATCCTAGTAGGGCTAAGTTCACCTAGGTCTAGCTTTTTGAACAGTTTATATGGCATGACATTAATGCTAGCGCCTAGGTCCGCCAAGGACTTTCCTACATGCATGCTGCCAATAGTAAGAGGGATAGTGAAACTCCTTGGGTCTTTGCGCTTTTCGGGCAGCTTGTTCTGCAGGATAGCAGAACATTCCTCGCTCAGCAGCACTGTCGAGAGATCCCCAAGTTTCTTCTTGTTGGTGAGGAGATCTTTCATGAACTTCGCGTACTTGGGCATCTTCGACAGTGCCTCCACAAATGGTACGCTGATGTTGAGCTGCTTCAACATTGCCATAAAATTGGCAAACTCAGTCTCCAGCTTATCTTTATGGAGGCGAGTGGGGAAGGGAAGCTGGGGCACATGCTCCTTCACCACTGGTTGTGGCTTGGGAGCAAGGGCTTCCTTCTCCACCCGCACTTCTGCATCACCGGCTGGAAGTGCTGAAACAGGCAGTGGTTCCTCCTGCCTGGTCGGGGCAGGATCAGCTGATGTAGGCCTGCCGCTCCTGGTGAAAATGGCATCCAGCTGCTCGTGCGGGTCCCGTGGATTGAGGATGGTGGTGGCAGGTAGGGTCCCCGGGGCCCGAGCAGTAAGCTGGCGCGCTAGGACACCGACTTGGTGCTGGAGATCTTGCAGAATAGCACCCTGGTTCCTCTGTCCTGCCTCCAGGTTTCTCTGGCCTGCCTCCAGTGAGGCTATGCTCTGGTCCACCCTCGTGAAATTCGCCTGGCTGGTGGTCATGAAAGTCGCCAAAATATTTTTCAGATCAGCCATCAGATTATCGGGAGCTGCGGCTGTTGGAGGCCGAGCAAACTGGCCCTGAGGCTGCTGGAATGGCTGCCCTTGCCTAGGCTGGTAGGGCTGCTGCTGTGGTGGGGGCCCCTGCCTAACCTGGAAGGGCTGCCTCTGCTGAAAACCACCTGCTGGTGCTGGAAAACCAGGTGGTTTGTTGGTGTTGCTGCTCCAGGCAAAGTTAGACTGCTGGCGCCATCCCTCATTGTAGGTATTGCTGTATGGGTCCAGGCGCCGAGCATTGGCGATGAACCACCTGCACCAAATCAGATGACGGTCTATCAACCACCTGCACCAAATCAGATGACTGGGTGGCTACAACATGCACACCCCGCCGTGGTGCTCGTCTCGATCTCCTGGCAGTTCCCCAATCATAGCCCTACTCTGCCATCTCTTCAAAGAGTTGATTCAGCTGTGGCGGCGTTTTGGTGAGCATATTCCCGCCACAGACCGAGTCAATCAGCTGCTTATCTTCCGGGAAGAGGGCATGGTAGAAGGTGCCCACCTTGAAGGCATCGGTAAAACCATGGTTGGGGCACTTGAGGAAGAGACTGGTGTATCTCTCCCAAGCATCCCGGATGGTCTCATCTTCATCTTGAGTGAAGTGGTTGATTTGCTTCTGCAGGTCCGCCGTCTTGGACGGGGAATGGTAGCGAGTGAGGAACTTGTCCGCCAGGTTGGCGAACGTAGTGATCGAGCCTGGAGGTCGAGTGTCTAGCCACTCCTTGGCCTGCCCCTCTAGAGTAAATGGGAAGTACCTCAGCTGGATGGCATCGGCTGGGACCCCATTTATCTTGATTCCATTGATCAGCTCATGGAATCGCCTCAGATGTGATCGGGGGCACTCCCCCTCCTTGCCACGGAACACCACCGAACCGCGCAACATCGTGATGACCGAGGTGCTCACCTCAAAGTTGTTCGCTGGCACATGAGGGTGCTGAATGGGTGACCTCATGTCCGCGGCTCTGGCGGTCCAGTAGTATCCCATGGTCTGCTCCTCAGGAATGACCACATCATGGTCCTGTCGGTCAGCCATCTCTTCCTCGTCGGCGATTTGCAGCTGTGCTAGCACCTCCTCCGCAGCCAGTCGCGCCTTTAGAGCCCGCTTGAAGTTCCTAAAGGTCCGTTCAAGCTCCTGGTCTAATGGTAGTAGTTCTCCCGACTGCTACGGGTCATGCACTACCTGCACACAACCAGCAAAAGCAACCCGTGAAGGCACATAGGTGGAAGAGAGAAAAATGCAGTAAAGAAAAAGCTAGAGTAACAAACTTTCACGTTTCCCCAATAACCTAGAGGGTCCCCGGCAACGGCGCCAAAAACTTGACACGCTAAAACACAACACCAAACTGCGACCAAGTGTAATCGCAATCCGGAAATGCAGTAACAGGCAAGTTCTAATGTCAACCCAGGGTCTAGATCTACTGCCTACTCCGTGAATATCTATTATCTAGCCAACTAAGTCAAGTGATTGTTGATTTAAGTAAAAGCAGTAAGAAAACAGGAAATGGTTCGGTTTTCTAAAGCAAAGGAAGAGTCACTCGGGAATGAGTCCCCCTAGCTCCTTAGTTAGGTCTCCGTTGTAATTACCCTGGGTTGATTTACTATTGATTAAACTGCGGAAGATCCAACAGTAGCTTGGAATCTCTTAAGCTGACCAAGCCCTCTCAGTCCAACTACCCGGCAGACGACTAGTCTTCACTGGAATAGAAAGCTGAGGCTATGAACACAGAACTCCACTACTGGAATTGGATTCCAGTACAAAGCAGTAGATTGACTAACTCTCGTATAACCAATCTACTACTACCGAATGATGAAGCTCTAACAACCTAATCAGATTCTATCTATCTCAGGTTGCAGCAGAAATCAAGAAAAGCTGATCAGACTTCAATTAATTCAATGAATCATGCATCATTCGATTAAAACCACACAGTATAACAATCCCAAGTCATTACAATCAAAATCCCTAACACATGGAACTAGGGTTCTTCATACCCAAGTGAGAGAGAGTTCTACTCCATAGAGAGAGAGGGAAAACATAATACAAAGCAGTCATACTCATAACAATGGGAAGAATCTGCTCTGGGATGATGATTTTCACTCCTATGATGATCTCCAACTCGATTTGATGAAACCCAGCTCCAAGATCGCTTCTAGGATGTGTTTTTCGCACTTTCTCTCTCTAGGGCTCTATTTTTGCTCCAAAAAGTCGATTCCCTCTCCTTTGGCTCGAAATTGGGTTAAAACCCAGATTTTCCCGATCACACGGCCAGGCCACACGGCCGTGTGGCTTACCCAGCTGCCCGTGTGAGTGCAAAACGCGAAGTTTCGATTAAGTGGACCTCGGGCTTCCTACACGGCCAGGGACACACGGCCGTGTGGAATTCCCAGGATGCCCGTGTGAGTGCTCGGTAAATCCCACACGGCCACATGGGTTACTTACACGGCCGTGTGGGTTTTAGGAGTGCCCGTGTGGCATCCTCAGCTTATCGCCACACGTCCGATCTTCATCCAATCGACCCCGAACTCGTTCCCAAACCTTCATTCACGTACTAGGACCTGAAATATCACAAACAAGAACAACCTAGCGTGAAATCAGCCTAAAACACGAGAATCAACATCTCAAACGGTGTAAGAATAGGGGTGAAAACATGTGTAATTAACGGTCTATCAGTGAGTTTGTGTGAATATGCTTTCAGTTGTATGTTAATGCATGCTTTACTTACCAGTAAGTTCAAGAAGCATTTAGGTTTAGGTTCGACCGAAAGATTTAGGTTTACTTCCCTCAATGAAGGTGAGTTAGTTTTAAGAGTTTTGTTACACCCCGGAATTTAGGTTTAGGTTCGACCGAAAGATTGGATTGACAATTACGTACGAAGGATTCAACCATAGATTAGAGATAATAATAATAATAATAACTATGATTATTATTATCATCAGCATAAACACCAACACCCGCCCTTTCCCCTTCAACAACACATTGTTACTATTATCATTATTATTATTATTATTATTATCATAATCCCCATCATCGCTTCAACCTAACCAATTCCTCCCTAACCACACGATCCCTTTACCCAATCCTTTATAATTACTAAGGTCATCATCATCAGCCGCATTGCTCTTCCCGTTGGCAGCAAAAAGAGAGATAAGAAAAGGAAGGAATAAATCCCAAAACCGTTACAAGTTACGTAACCCCCATCCCTCCCCGACGTGTCTTTATTCTTCCATGTTAAACGTCGCTCTTCCTCGTTATAGTTTTCCCCCACCGTAATCGAGAGGAGCAAGAAAATCATAAGTTCCACCCAGGGCTCAGCAATAAGTCTCTCTTCAGCTCGTCCCTGCAGCAACTTCGACAATCACTAGCGGGAGAGAGAGAGGGTGACATTGTCACCGATTGCTCCTCCGCCGGCCGATCAATCCTTCCCAGTTCGTAGGAATCGCAATCACGAAGGTAAGGAATCTGAAGTCAATCTATTTGTGGCTTGAATCGGTCGTAAGCTAACCCCAATCCATGAACCATATACTCACGGAAGGTTACGGAGGTTCATCGGAAAAGGTGAGAGAACAAAGAATTTGCAAACTGACAGTTTATTCGAGATTGATAACCAACCTTAAATACTACTGTGTTTCAGCCAACAGACCTGGCTTTCACAGCACTGACCACTAACTCGATCTCCCTGCAAATCAGCAGCATGATCTCTACACTTCTGGTTCTACCATAACTGTACAATGGACTAAACTGACTCTTTACCAAACTCAAGTACTAAACTGACATTTAACCAACTCGACAGACTGACTCCAACCAAACAGACACGACAGCGTTTCAACTAAACAGACAGACTCCAACTAAACAGAACGACACCGTTCTTCTTTATTCAAATCCACGCTTTGAACCTTGGCGCCAAACCAATCCTTCTCCTTCTCGGATTCGGATTCCCTGGCACTTGCAGCTTGACTCCTTGCTCCAACAAATCCTCCCCTGAACTGAACCCTCTCAACTTCGTTCAGTTCACATGCCTCAATATTCAATGTTCAACATAGACCTCTGACACATCACACAATCCCATTTTGCTCCTCAGCAGCTGAAACACCTCCAACTTCAATGGTTTTGTCATAATGTCTGCAACCTGTTCCTGTGTACCACAGTGCTCCAACTCAACCACTCCTTCATTTTCCAGCTCCCTCAGAAAGTGAAACCTCACATCAATATGTTTGCTGCGCCCATGGAGAACTGGATTTTTTGACAGTTTGATTGCTGAACTATTGTCACACATAATAGTTGTGGCCTTCTTCACACTTTGCCCCCATCCCATCTGCTCCAGAATCCTTCGAAGCCAAACACTTTGTGCAGCACAGTGAGGTGCAGCAACAAATTCTGCCTCTGTGGTGGACAGGGCAACCACTGGTTGCTTTTTGGAAGCCCATGAGATGACTCCCCCTGCCAGAAAAAACACATAACCTCCTGTGCTTTTCCTGTCATCAGTATCACCAGCATAGTCACTGTCTGTATAGCCTAACAGCTCCTCCTCTTCCTCCCCTTTTCTCTTGTACCAGATCCCAAAATTCACAGTTCCCTTTAGATATCTTAGCACCCTCTTGGCAGCCAACATGTGTTGTCGAGTTGGATGTTCCATAAATCTGCTGAGGAAGCAGATTGGGTACATGATATCAGGTCTGGTTGCTGTTACATACAGCAGGCTTCCAATCAGCTGCTTGTATTCTGTAGGACTCACCAACACTCCATCTCCAGCTTTGTTCAATTTGCATCCAGGGGTCATAGGATTAAGTACATGATTACAGCCTGAGAGATTGAACTTTGCCAGCAGCTCTTTGACATACTTCTGTTGACTGATGAACACTCCAGATTCCTTTTGGCTAACCTCAACTCCCAAAAAGTAATGCATCCTTCCCAGATCTGTCATTTCAAACTCGGATTGCATTGCTTGCTTGAACTCAGCAAGCATTTCATCATCATTGCTTGCATACATCAGATCATCTACATACAAGCTCAGAATCAGAATACTAGTTCCAGCCTTCTTGACAAAAAGAGTATGCTCATAGGGAATCCTCTCAAACCCAGACTGAACAAAATAGGATTCTATCCTATTATACCAAGCTCTAGGTGCCTGCTTGAGGCCATAGAGTGCTTTGTGCAGCCTGTAAACCTTATTTTCCTCCCCAGCAACCACAAACCCTGGTGGTTGCTCCACATAAACCTCCTCAGTGAGCTCTCCATTAAGAAAAGCACTCTTGACATCCAGTTGGTAGACTGTGATGCCATGATATGCTGCCAGTGCTAAGAAGGTTCTGATGGTGTCCCATCTAGCTACTGGAGCAAAAACCTCAGTGTAGTCTATTCCTTCCTTCTGGGAATACCCTTTGGCCACAATTCTAGCTTTGAACTTGTCAATACTGCCATCTTCTTGTAGTTTGGTTTTATACACCCATTTCAGACCAATAGCCTCAAAGCCTTCTGGGAGAGTAGTGAGAGTCCAAGTCTGGTTCTTTTCAACTGAATTCATCTCCTCCTGCATTGCTGCATTCCACTTAGGATCCAGCATTGCCTCCTCAAATGTCTGAGGATCATCAGTAACAGCCACCATGGCCACCCAGTCAGTAGTAATACAACTCATATCATAATTCTGGAAATGCCCTGGTAGTTTTCTGATTCTCTTTCCTAGAGCAGCATTTGGTGTTTCCACCACATCAGTATCACCATCCAACTCATCATCATTGACATGTCCACCCCCTTCTGCTGATCCTTCTGCTGCTGCAGGACTAGAGGATTGTTCTGGTTCTGTTGCTGCTGGAACAACTGGTTCAGGTGTTTTTGGATCCTCATCTTCTATGTCTGAATCAAACCAGTCTTGATCACTTCCTTCCCAAGATAACTGTGTCTGCACAGGTTCCTCCCCAGAATTCCAATTCCATCCTTTAGTCTCATCAAAGACCACATCCCTACTAACCACAATCTTTTTGGTACTGAGATTATAAAGTTTGTATGCCTTTGACTCAATTGAAATACCTAGGAACTGACAGGTCTTACTCTTGTCATCCAATTTCCTTCTCTGCTGATCTGGAACATGCACATAGGCAGTACAACCAAAAACCCTGAAGTGTGAAACAGAAGGAGGATGTCCAGTCCACAATTCCTGGGGAGTTTTCCCTTTGTTTGCTTTTGTAGAACTTCTGTTTAGAACATGTGTTGTCCAGGCCACTGCTTCTGGCCAAAATGCAGCTGGAACTTTCATATCTGACAGCATGCATCTAACCATGTTCAACACTGTTCTATTCTTTCTCTCTGCTACCCCATTCTGTTGGGGTGTCAAGGCAGCTGTTAGTTGCCTTCTGATTCCAACTTGGTCACACAATTCTCTAAACTCAGTGAGCATGAACTCACCTCCTCTGTCAGTTCTCAAGCACTTGATTTTTAATCCTGTTTCTTGTTCAACCTGAGTTCTGTATTTCTTAAACCACTCAAGAGTTTCTGACTTAGCAGTTAAGAAATACACCCACAGCTTTCTGCTAAAATCATCAGTTAAGGTAAAAATATACCTTTTTCCACCATTTGACTCTGGTGTTAGAGGACCACACAAATCAGCATGTACAAGTTCTAGTTTCTGACTTGCTCTCCATAAGCTTTTCTTTGGAAAAGACTTTTTGTGTTGCTTACCAATAAGACAGGTTGCACAAATCTCCAGATCTCCTCTCAGTACAGGTAAGTCCACAACAAAACCCTTCTGCTGCAGATGCTTTAATCCTTGTATGTTAGTGTGCCCAAATCTCCTATGCCACAACTCCAGGTCTTTCTCCTTGCCATTAACAGTTTGAAAGCACTGGAAGTCTTGTTCTTTTGACTGATCTTCAGGATGTATAACAAACATCCTATTTGACTTCATTTCTGTCTGCAGCAGTAGCCCCTTTTCCTCATGAAAGATCTTGCAGCATTCATTCTTGAATAAGAATGCTAGGCCCTTCTCCTGTAACTGGCCAATACTCAACAGATTTGTTTTAAGACCAGGCACATAAAACACATCACTGATGACCATGTTCAGATTTGCAGCCTCAATTTTTACACTTCCCTTTGCTGCAACCTCCAGCTTGTTGTTATTGCCAAGTCTAACAGAACATGTAGAGTCAGTATTCAACTCTGTGAACCATTTCTTGTCTCCTGTCATGTGATTGCTACACCCTGAATCCAAGAACCACCAGTCCTCATGCCTGTCTTGCTTCACTTCTTCAAGTAAAGCCATCAGTCCTTGTGCCTCTTCCTCCAACTCCAGTGAGCTTTCAGATTCAACACAGGCCATGAGCAGCATATCATCCTTCATATCTCCTTGAGCCCTGGTTTGTACTTGATTGGAGTTAGCATAGTGTGCTTGAGGACCATTATACCAATCAGGACACTCATACTTGAAATGCCCTAGTCTGTGACACTTAAAGCACTCAACAGCTTCTCTATTCCAGCCTCTTCCCCTTCCTCTACCTCTTGCTACACCTCCATATCCTCTTCCTTGACCTCTTCCTCCTCTACCATACTCAAAAGATGCCCTGAGAGCCTGGTCATCTTCAACTACAGCCTTTGCAGTTTTTCTATTGAACTTCTGCTCATGCACCAGCAATGAACTTTGAAGAGCATCCACTGTCAAAAGGTCAATATCTTTGGATTCCTCTATAGAACACACAACATAGTTGAACCTGTCAGTCAGAGTTCTCAAAATTTTCTCAACTACCTTGTCATCTGGCATATCCTCTCCACAATTCCTCATAGTATTTGCAATTACCATGACCCTACCAAAGTATTCTGATATGGATTCTCCCTCTTTCATTTCAAGTAACTCAAAGTTTCTCCTAATTACCTGAAGTTGAGCCTTTTGAACTCGAGCACTCCCTTGAAACTTCTCCCTCATTGAATCCCACAGTTCCTTTGCAGTTGCCTTCTTTGCAATTGTCTTCAGAAGGGTTCTATCAATGGAACTGAACAAGTAGTTCTTTGCTTTAAGATCCTTGAGTCTCAACTCATCCAAGCTCTTCTGTTGTGCTGCTGTAATCACTTCTCCTTCAGCAGGCTCTCTAATTCCAGGACTAATTACAGTCCAATACTCCTTCGATCTGAGAAGATTCTCCATGAGTAAAGTCCAGTGTTCATAATCCCCATCAAATTTGGGGATACAAACCTGAGCACCACTGCCATTGTCAGTCATGGTGAACTGACACCAATCTTCTCAGATTCCTCTCACCCCCTTTTCAAAACAAGCCTCACCTGTAATCTCTCGTGTTTCCCTATACCCAGATTACCAGAAGCTTTCACTCAGTACTCTCTTTATCACACTCGTGGTTACAGTTTGCTTCAGTGCTCTGATACCACAATGAGAGAACAAAGAATTTGCAAACTGACAGTTTATTCGAGATTGATAACCAACCTTAAATACTACTGTGTTTCAGCCAACAGACCTGGCTTTCACAGCACTGACCACTAACTCGATCTCCCTGCAAATCAGCAGCATGATCTCTACACTTCTGGTTCTACCATAACTGTACAATGGACTAAACTGACTCTTTACCAAACTCAAGTACTAAACTGACATTTAACCAACTCGACAGACTGACTCCAACCAAACAGACACGACAGCGTTTCAACTAAACAGACAGACTCCAACTAAACAGAACGACACCGTTCTTCTTTATTCAAATCCACGCTTTGAACCTTGGCGCCAAACCAATCCTTCTCCTTCTCGGATTCGGATTCCCTGGCACTTGCAGCTTGACTCCTTGCTCCAACAAAAGGTACGTCGGCGACTCCGACATGGTCGACTTCAATAAAGCTTAGAAATATGGGTACCATCATGAAAAGGGAAATCTTAGGAGCACCCTGGTTTTGCGGAATCGAATTTCGACGTTGGACGAGGGAGATACAAGCCTCGAAAGTTTGGGATGCAAATCGGATAGTTGAGGTACTATTCTTCTCAATTCGGTAAGTTTGAGGATTAAATCTGTAATTTTTCCAGATAGGCCGTGGTCAACTATGTTGACTGGAAAATTACAGTTTCGGTACCTGGTACATTTAAACTGACAGAATGTTTATTTGGTCATAACTCGATCAATTGACGTCCGATCGAGGAACCGTCGACGCCTATGAAATCGTTGGATCGAGGAGAATTTAATGGAAGAGAGTCATGGAATTTTTAGAGCGGATTCAGAGTCGTTTTCGAGGAATTTGAGGTGAGTGTAAAGGGGGTAAAATCTCTGTCGAGGTCTTTTAGTTTATGTCTTTTAATTCAGTTATGTTCGTTAATTTTCAAGTAAGCGCGATTATGTGTGTGAGGCATCCCACCACCTACTTAAGGTGGAGGCACGCGTTGTGCTTGTGTGTGTATGAATGTGCATGGTTATTGGTAATTGAACCCCCGGGCGGTTGGGCCACTACTGGACGCGGTAGATGGTCGGGTCACTACTGGATGGCGATACGTAACGCAGTAGTTGACCGGGCATGGACTGGACGGCGATACGTAACGCAGTACCATTGCCGTGAGGATAGGGACACCGGACGGCGATACATAACACGGTGATTCCGTAGTAAGAAGTATGTAAGTTAAGGATAGAAGTATAGAACTTCTATGATTTAAGGATAAAGTTGAGAACTTCTATGAGTTAACGTTGGAATAAAGTAATAGGATGAAAGTGAGAACGAATTTCGTCTAAGGCAGAAAACCCATTAATAACGTGTTTTTAGTAAGGAGGTTGCTTAGGACAAGACCTTAGGAAGTAACGACGAGACTGACCCCTTCTCACTCACCAGGTTGAGGAAGGGTTAGCAGAGGTGGATCCCGAGAAGGAGCAAGGCAAGGCGAGCAGCCACACCAACATTGACGAGATGTCAAGGAGCTAAGCGAGGAGTTATAGTTTGTTTAGTCAGTTGTGTTTATGATTATGAGTATAACTGGAGATTCAAAGGTTGAGGTTTATTAACTATGCATTTGAGTTTTGCCCACGTGTTTAGAGCATTGCATTTGACGTTTTCCTTGGGAATGTTTAAGTTGTATTTAAGTTTTAAGCTTTGTTTTTAACCGGCTCCGGAGCCATAATTATTTCGGTTGTTTAAAAGGATCAGGGTGTTTCAAGTTTTATGTCACCGACTCGCACGAAACTACACCACGAATTAATCCCGATTAGAGCCCAAGTTTTTAAACTCTAGCCGGGTGCAGTATAGGGCAAGTATTTAAATTGTCAACCCGGGCCGGTCCATGTACCCCTACTTCATTCACTTAAGTTTTTATCTTTCCTCCTTGTTGCTTGAGACACCCTTGAGATGAAGAAATCTTCAATCCTCTAGCTAGGAACAAGCCTAAAGCTACTTCTTCCTCCTTTGATTTGCACTTTCTCACTCTAGAAGAAACCCTAACCTTTCACTAGAATCCTCTTTATTCTGAAAATGAAAACCTAACCTAAAAAATGAAGCTCCATCTTCCTCTCCCCGCTGTTGTCTTCATATTTGCCTAAAAGTGACCAGTTCACGAACGCGTTGGCCTGTTCACGGCCGTGAACACCTAAACTCGTTCGTGAACTCGGTGTCATCCAAAACGCACCGCTTCGCTTCTAAGGTTCACGGTCAATGGCCCCTGTTCACGGTCTCTAAGACCGTGAACTGCCTTGTTGTCAGTAACTTCTGGAACCTCGCTGGCGGCCTCGATGTTCACGGTTTGTGGTCCAAGTTCACGGTCTTGTCCGACAAGTGAACTGCGGCTGTTTCCTGGACGCCTTCACTTCCTTGCTACGAGGAAATTGTCACGGTGACTTCGGACTTTTCTTTGGTTTTTGCGCTTTTTGACCTCGAATTATCCCAAAATTTGACCTCGACCCTTCCACACGTGGTAGGACCTAAAATGTATCAAAACAAGCACAACCGAGCGTGAAATATATCGAGGAACGATGAAATACTAAGCTAAGCGAATAAAAAATGAGGGGTAAAATGTGTACATTTGAGCCCGAATCAGTCACTAGCGCCAGCCTGTTGCCATTTGAGATTTTGAGATAGAGCAGTAGTTATGCTCTTGAGACTTTTAAGATGAGCATCAGTTATGCTCTTGAGAATCGTGGTGAAGAGCCACCACGATAAGTTTAAGATGTTAAAGGAATGAATCGTTACGACTTCCTTAACTAAATTTAAGTTTAAGGAAAGCCTTGATGGCTTCTCATACATATGAGTTGGGCAACCAGACTAGCTAATGAGGGATCCCGTGTCAGTCAAAAGTTTAAGTCAAAATTTGAGCTTTAAGAAGGGAGAGTAAATTTAGTTCCCGCATAGTTAAGAGTTCAGAGTTTTTAAGAGTGGAAGTAGTAGTACAAACAACTTCCACCAAGTTAAGTAAGTGTTTTAAGTAAAGGGCTAAGCAGTAGGAAGTTTAAATCGTAAGGGCATAGACTGACCCCAACTCACTCACCAGTTTGAAGAGAAAGAGGAGGAGCAGTTAGAGAGCAGCAAGATCGAGAGAAACAGTTCGAGGGAATCCATTTAGAGGAGAATGATACGAGCGTCTTGGAGGATGTCTAGTCAGAGTTTCCTAGGAGCAGCAACAATAGTTGAGTCTAGTTAGTTATTACGTTGTATGATCATGAGTATAGACTGGAGATTAGATTGAGATTTTAAAGCTTGAGTTTAATTTGCTCATGTGTTAGGGCGTTTCTTTGAACTACAAGTGTGTGTTTTCAGTATTTTATTTATGAAAATTTTTCCCTCTGCAATTTTAGATTTGAGTATTTTATTATTTTTCAACGACATTTTAGTAAAATTAGTACCCGGCCATGTTATGGTGTTACAAGCTATAGGTAGATAAATTCCTGGCTTTTAAAATGGAATGGACATGATTACCTTCCTAGAGGCTATGGATGCCATTGGACTGGAATATCAGCAACACAAGTCTCATACCAAAGTGGAAAAGGATTTTTTATACTTATAATATAATCCCGAGACCTATAATAACTTGAGTATAATTTAAGTTAGGTAATTAGCACAGATCTAAACCGTTAAAATTGATCAAATTTATTTTAAAACATTAATTAAAAAATAAATAATTAATATGATGCATTTAATTCCTAATATGTATTTAATGAGTGTATTAAATTATATAGTTGTATTTAATACACTAGGGGGTGTCATTTTTCCAACTCTCAAGGGGTTAGCATGCTAACCGACCCCACAATTGTTGATTGGTAAAAACATGTAATGTCGTTATATTATTATTATGTGCAATAAAATTAAATACTTGGCTTAACTACTGCCCATTTTTTATTGCTAGCACACATTAATGTGTGTTGTGTATGTTTGCGTCTAGGTCATGAGTGTGTGAACTTCAGTGGGGATAGGGGGAGAATGAGGCAGGCGGTCTGAGGCCTGTTGAGACTCGGTAGTGGGGGAATGAGATTAGGTGCTAACCCCAATTTTTCTACCGTTAGATGCAAGCTTAATCCTATGATTTTAATAAAGGGCGATTTAGTCAAAATCTAACCGTTCCTCATAAACCCTAATATAATTATGCATCATTCTTGCCACCTCTCCTCATTCTTTGAAAAACCGTCAGCCTCCCATCACGTTTTCTACAAACTGCAGCCGCCATGCTCTCCCTTTCTCATTCTCCAACGAATTGCGTGATGATCACAAACTCTCCCCCATCTTTCTCCTCCACCAACTGGCGACGTGGTCATTGAAAATAGCGGCAAAGGAGAAAACGTCATCGATCTCCATCTCCTCACGGGCAACCAAAGACGCAAAGCGGTTCGTCGAGCGCGATGGGAGGTAGGCGGTAGCGAAAGAAGGGACATCATTGGCGATGGAGTAGGCAAAAAGCGGCGACGACTTTGAGAGACGGAGAGGGTCGTCATCAGATTCTTCAAATCAGAATCCAACCTCGACAATGATGGCTGGTTACAGGGAGAATTCCGTTCAAATCGACGGTGGGAGAAGTGGTTCGCCGAGGGTGAGATACACTTGAGCATTGATGACAAGGATTATAATAAATGGAAGAAAAAACAATCGATTTTTGTAGTAGTGATTAGAAGTTAGGTTTTGGTTTTTATCTAGATTGTAGTACTGGTTCTTCATGTGTGTGGTAATGATTCTCACAACAATGGTTTATAGTAGTAGTACTAGTAGCGATTTTATTTCAGTAGTGATTATGTAGTAGTGATGTGGCTCGTATTAGTAGTGATTGAGTATTAGATTTTTTTACTCCTACCTAATCGTATTAGTAGTTTTTATATTATCATTAATTTCTAAAATTCGCAAATTATGAGATTTAAAATTTCTAAATCACTACTGATAACAATTAAATCACTACTAGAACAATTAAATTGCTAATACAACAACCAAAATCACTACTAATGAATGTAGTAGTAGTTTCCAATATTTATTTTTTCACGTCAAAAATAGATCTCTACTAAAAATAAGAGAAATAATTTTAAATCTTAATTTATTAATTAAATTAATTTTTTGATATTCCAAATATACCCCTGCTTATTCTCCACCATAAAATTTAAATTAAAAATAATAAACAGCGATTATAGTGGTTAGTACTGTGCTAACTCCTATAAAGTTAGCACTCTAACCAGTCCCGGTAGTGGGAGGTGGGATGGGGAATTGGGTTGAGGCTTGTTGGAGTGTGAGGTGGGCTGAAGGTGAGCTACGGAGTTTGTGATCCAGTTTTTAAGGGGTCATTTGGAAGTTAGGGTTCTAAACGAGTGATTCTATGAATGTGTGTATTTTTTACAGAGCTTGTGATCCAGTTTTTAAGCTTGTCCTGCCCATTAGAATAGAGGTTGAGATCTCTTGGAAACCATCGCCTCCCAAGTGAATCACTCTCAACTCAGACGGTTCCGTTCTTCCCGACACTGGTCAGGCTGCAGCTGGTGCCCTTATACGAGATCACACAGGACGTTACATTGCAGCGTACGCATATAACTTGGGTTTCTGTTCCATAACCCAAGCAGAGTTGAGAGGAGCTGTTGAAGGTTTACAGGTGGCTTGGAATCTCGGATATCGTCAAATCTGAGTAGAGCTGGACTCGCGGTGTGCAGTACAGATGATGACGAGCAGGGACAATAGCACACACCGCCACTTGACCATTGTGGCCCGATTTCAATCTCTTGCCGAGTAAGGAGGGGAAGTAAGGATCTCTCATGTGTATCGCGAGGCTAATAAGTGTGCTGATTATCTTGGCACTTGCGGCCACGCCCGGTCTGTGGGGGTGCATAGTATTTCGATTTTTGATTCTCGCTTGTACCAGTTGATTTTGTATGACTGTCAGGAGATCTCCAGACCCCGCATGGTGTTGAATGAAAGCTAAGATGCGACACATCCTTTTACAAAAAAAAAAAAAAAGAGACTAACAAGATAAAAAGATAAGAAATCTTCTTCCTCAAACTCTTTATTATAGTTAAAGAGGGCTCAAGATAGGATCAGTAACTATTGGTTACTAACCCATAAGTAACTAAATTTGGATCTTTAGATTTAAGTGGGTTAAAAAATCCAGATTTAAGGGTTGTGAATTAAATGCATTTTATTTTCCCTATTTTTCTTGAATGACTCTTATCTTCTTCGTTCTAACTTGGATTCAAATTTTTTTGCACAAATGGAATGAGTTCGTTGTTTTCTACAAAATGAGATCAACTTTCAATATTTTTTTAAATTTTTTTTCATACCTCTCGTTACCAACTCCATACCATATGTTATTTCCTTCGTTTTAAAGTCGTTTTTGAAAATATGTGCACAGAAAGAACGAATTCATCAAGATCTATTGGATCTACAAATTTCTGGGTGAAAAAAATACATGACAAAAAAATAACATACTATACCACCCGGGTATGGGGTGGTAACTTATGGTACACATTGAAGAAAGTCGTAAATGACAGTTAATATACTCATACTATCATGTATTCAACTATCCTACAGTCTTGGTATGTTCATACCATCTTGGTACGCTTTCATACCATATGGTATGCTCTTATTTAATACCAGTCAATATCATAAGGTACAGACTCGTAAAAAATGACTCAATTTTTTTTGTTCAAAAAATATATCAAAGTGTATATCATTTTGAAGAACACAATTAATCTGATCTATCTCTGCAAAAAATTAAATTCGTACTTAAAACGAGAGAGAAATCGACCGTTAAAGATTGAAGGGGAATAGATTAAAAACTTTCCACATGAGAGAGGATACTGATGTTATGCTGATATGCACGGGTTACTAACCATAAGATAACTGACCGGATCCAGACCCATTAAAGAGCCCATATACAACGCCATTCAAATGATCATTATGAGTTTTGTTGTAGTAACACAATTTTTTATCTGAAAGAACACATTTTAATGATATCTTATAGTTGTTAAAATTAAACATAGTATAGAAACGAACTTACTACTATACTTGGAAATAAAAATTTGGTCTAATGACTATTTCACTGGTCTTCAACTTGAAATTTTCCTGTATGAATCCCCTTATATCTCTTTGACTAGATATTCACCTAAGATTAGAATAGGATTCACATAGTTGGGTTGTTTTATGGTAACCTCAAGTCGAGAGAATTCATACTCAGAGAATCTAGACAAGAATTGTATTTTTCCCATCCTTCCACCTTCTCCACCTCCTTTGGCTTTGACAGTCACCTCTAAATAATATATGTAAATTATTAATATAAGAATTTATATACTTCACATTACTAGCTAATTTTCAATTTAAATATATTTTTTTAAGAACCAGAGCACAGAGGGGCGCTCTAAACCTTAATTATTAACGAAATGTGGGGTTTGAACATCAACTGAATCAAAGTACAACCAATAGCACAAACTAGGACTCGGGTGCTCACACAAACCCAGCCTGGCAGCGGCCTCTTCCAGCTAATAAGTCGCGTCGAATTAGGTTTGCCTCCTTGCAAAATGGTTCTTACTTTCTCAAATGCCTCCTCCGCTTGATCACTCAGATGTTTTGCCGCCGGGATAAGTTGGACTGCACCTGACAATTGCTTCTCAAAGACCCAAAGGTTTCGGTTTCTCCATAGCTGCCAACATAAAATAGCAAAAACCGACTAATCAATACCGTTTCTTTTACCCGAGATGTAATACAGAGCCCATTTAGTCATGTCCTCTTGAAAGATAGTACTATCCGGATCTCCCTCAAGTAGCTGCAACCACACATTACGAGCGTAAGGACAGTCCCGGTGGACGTGAATGACCGTCAGTGGTCCAGCCCCACATATCGGGCAATCATCGGACGAGGCCAGGAGTCTCCGTTGTTGCTCCCCGTTCGTGAGAAGCCTCCTATGCAGAACCAACCAGAAAAATGACCGCATACGTTGGGGTCCCTGGATTTTCCAAGTAGCTCGCCAAACTAGATGTTCCTCGCTTCCCTCCTCCTAATCCCGCAACAAATCCACTGCTGACTTCACCATGAATTTACCCGACTCCGAGAACCTCGAAGTTGCTACATCGGGTTCCATTCCTTCCGGCACCGGAGGCAGCTGTAATTGCAGAACAAGAGCTTTAGGGAGGAAGGCCCGACCATACTCAAGATTCCATTCCCCATTTAACACCACCTCAGCCACTCGTAAGCTATTCGCTTCTTCAGGAAGGTTCGCTGCAAAGTGCTTGAGAGGCGGCCCATCCTGCAGCCATCTGTCAGTTCAGAACATAGTCTGCATCCCACTTCTTTTGTTCCACATTGTATCTTCCGGGATATGATGCAGAACTCGAAAGACACCTCTCCAGAGATTCGACAACCTGCCATATCGCCGAGGAAACCAGACTCCATTCACCTCTCATAGATACTTCCCGCGAATGACCTGTGCCCAAAGATTTTCATGCTCTACGAAAAGTCTCTAGGAAATCTTGAGCATGAAAGCATAGTTCATTCTAGTCGCGCTTCTCAACCCCAACCTTCCTTTTGCCTTTGGATGACACAACGTTTCCCAATCTACCAGATGTATCTTTCTTCCCTGCTACGAACTTCCCCAAATGAAACCCCTGATCTTCTTATCAATATACTCCCGCACTGATGCAGGAAGGAGTTCCGTCTGCATCGTATAATCCGGGAGCAAAGCCATAACCGACTGAGTGAGGGTGATCCTGCCTACCAGAGACAAAGAATTAACCTTCCACCCTGCAAGTCAAGAATCAATCCTGTCGATGAGGTCAGTGTAAGTTGCTTTCGACAATCTGCTGTGAATCACTGGAACACCTTGATATCGCCCCAAAATTTTCGTCTCGGGAATATTAAGTGCGACACTATACGCTATCCCAAAAACTTCTGCGACGTCATGTGAGAAAAAGATTCTCGACTTTGGCCTGCTTATCTCTTGTCCAGACGCCATCCCAAACTCCTCCAAGCAATTGCTCCATAGAAGCCACACTAAACAGAATCAGATCATCGACGAAAAAAAAATGTGATAGCTTAGGTCCTCGGTGTGAAAGGCGCATTGGTTTCCACTCACCTGCCTCCACCGCAGCATCAATCAGATGCCCCAATCTCTCCATACAAAGTGTGAAAATATAGGGGGAGAGTGGACAACCCTGCGTCAGACCCCTCGATAGAGAAAAAGGACCAGTAAGACCTCAATTCCACTGAATTTGCATTGTGGCCGAGGTGATACAACTCATAGTCAGCTCTGTAAATCTGCTCGGTGCTTCGGCAGCCTCCAACATGTCGTGCACAAAACTCCACTTTTATCCTGCCATAAGACTTGGCCAAGTCAATCTTAGAACCATCCAGCCGACCTCCCCCCTTTAGCCGGCATCGAATGGACCAGTTCCTGCAGAATACAAATTTTATCAGTAATGTGTCTCCCTGGGACAAAGCTCGTTTGGGTGTCATGAACTAATCTCGACATCAAATGCTTGATCCTTTCACCCAAACACTTCGTTATCATATTATAGGCTACATTACAGAGACTGATTGGGAGAAATTGCTCATTCAATGAGGGACTCTGGATCTTCAGGATCAAGGCCACAATTGTTTCATTAACCTCTTGAACCCGCGACGACGTATACCAGCTGTGACAAAATTGATCACCTTGGGGCCAACCAACTCCCAGCAGCACTGATAGAAAAGCGGATTCAGACCATCTTTTCCTGGTGCCTTCATCACTCCCATTGACTTGATAGCCTGACCAATCTCTTCTGGAGTAAACTTCCTATCGACCGCCGCCCAAAAAGGAGCAGGCACCTCTTGAAAAGCTCTCATGAGGGTTTGGACGGGTGCTCCATCATCAGTATATAATCTCGAGAAAAACCGTCAAGCAAGGTCTAGAAGAAGATCCTGATCCTCAATCCATTACCCCGCCTCTTTCTTCAGCGCCAAGACTCTGTTTCTCCTTCTTCTGTTCATGGTTCTAGCATGATAAAACTTTGTGTTACGGTCATCCGAGGCCACCCACTCTAGCCGCGATTTCTGGCACCACAATAATTCCTCTTGTAGAAAAACCTCCTCTAGTTCCTGCCTCACTGCCCGCAAAGCTTATGCTTCTGAGTCCCCCCCTCCCATACCTCGATTCCAGCCGCTCAATCCAAGAAATTAAAGCATTTTTATTCTTCAAAATATTCCTGAATGTATCAGCATTCCACATTTTCGCCTCCTCCACAAACACGGCAATAGAAGTGAGGAAGTCCTCCCCTTTCGCCCATACTTGAGTAGCCATATCATGAAAACCCTCGTGGGTCAGCCAAGCCGTACGAAATTTTAACGGTTTCGGACCCGCAGGCTGAAAACTTGGGTTCAGGGTAATCAGAATAGGTCGGCGATCATTCTTCACCCTGGGCAAATGCCTCACAATCGCCTCTGGGAACTTATTCGACCAGTCAGAATTAGCCGATCCCCGATCAAGCCTTTCTTTAACACCTCGCTTAAACCAAGTAAACCGGAGGACCAGTGAAGCCGAGGTCCAAGAGTCCCGCATCCAAAATAAAATCTTGAAACTCCCCTGCCCGACTAGCATCAAAAAAGGGCCCCCCCTGACTTGTCCGATGGTTGTAGAATAGATCTGAAGTCCCCCTACAATGA